CTGGGGAATTCTGGGAGTTGAAGTCCACACAGCTTAAAGTTGCCAAGTTTGAGAAACACTGTTTTACTGCACTGTATACAGGGTTGAACAGGAACATTCTTGGTATGAAAATGTAAACCTAATTCTGCCCTAAGAAAACTAAATTCGGCAACCTATATCAATTATAAGTTCCTAGGTTTTGCTTATATGTTTACTTTTGCCAGCATATGTAGAAACGAAGGGATTATGCAGCTCATTCATGCTCTGTATGTCGAAATCTTGCCCTTCTGCTTCCATGCTATTTCACCACACTAAGATTTTGCATCCAATGCCACGTCCTTTGCATTTCCAGCCTGGGTACAGATTTGGTTTATTTATTTTCGTGCTTTAGCTTGTTTTATTTCACTTTGCGAAGTCGTCTTCAGTCCAGCTTGTGAGGGGTCAGAAATGGAAAGCCAGTAGAAAAGCAGCCGTAACTCAGGGCCACAAGGATTTTTAGGGAATTCACCCAGTTATGGAAGGAATGGTTAGTTGGTTAAGATGAAAACATTTTAGCCCAGCTGCGCACCATCAGTGATGGTGATCTTCTTGCTCATCTTGCCATTCCTTGATCCAAAAGACTCTACTCCTTCCACCACATTCATTCTGTCTTTGGCGTGGTCCAAGACTACTGTACCTGTTCCCCGTCCAACCAGTTCGTTTTGGTGGCGCAGACGAAAAAGAGACCCATTTGCCATAGATAAGATGCCAAGGGCTGTGTGCTTGAGGAGAAAGCTCCCATCAGCAAACTTCTCACCGTAAATGAATTTGCCATCTGTTCCACGATGGTGGATGAAGTCATTGTCCTGACGCACAAATCCAGGAATGATTCTGTGAAAGCATGATCTTTTGTAACTGAAACCGTTGGCCACCGAGCTCAAGGCCTGGCAGTTCTCTGCTATCTGGGAACTTGTTTTCCAGCAGCTTGAATGTGATACACCAAGAGGATCTTGGCAACAATACTGAAATAAACAAGAGAATTAACCTTCCACAGTCTATCAGTCTAAAGAGGTGTGGTGGTTTGAAGGTCTGATGAAGAATTGATGAGTGGCGGGTGGCGGTTTTCTCCTTCCGAAGAATAGCTGTATTTATTACAAGGTGCTTCTTGAAGATCTGAGCCTCACCACCAAACGCCATTAAGAAGAACTGTAAGGCTATCCGTGTGGGAATAGCTCAGTAGATGAATCAAAATCCTCCCATACATTACCTTAAACATAAACCAGATGATTCTAATCTAAAGCTAATTGTATTTGCCTCGAATGAATTGCAATTTGTATAACTTGGAAGCTTATCTGTTGGCCTAAGAAAATCTTCCCCTGCTTATAGCCCTCCAGATGTGATGGTCCTGCTGGCCAGGTGGGGGTGGCGCCGATAATCCAAGACATCTGAAGGAGAGCAGAAACTGGGGGAGACTCTGTTCCCACTGTTCGTTCTTGGGAGGGCAAGAAATGGGTGCGCTTGGCACATTATGAACCTGTTCCAGCAACAGGGAAACAAGGCTGCAAAACTGTATTTTTAATCTGTGTTGTTTCTTGGTCAGTGGGCCAAGATGTGAGTCATCGAGCTTTATTGGAATTTTATCTGAACTGTATCTTCTTTGGTAGTGATTTAGCTTTTATGAGATCAGCGTAATTGTATGTTGCGCTCTTTAGATCTGTTGTGGTTTCTGTTCTAAGCACGGTTTTGGCCAAAGTGAGAACTCTGGAGTCCAATCCTTCTAGGTTTTGAGACACTAAATCTAACAACATTGTGCATTTTTAAGCACCCTCTCAAATGACCCATTTTAATAACCTGAAAGCTATTATATAACAAGCCGCCATAAATTAGTACAAGACCCTGGGGGAACCCGCACAGCTCAGCAATGAATAGTTAATGTGGTCGAATGTTGAGCAGGTTATTAGTTTTCAATGCACAAATGCTGATCAGGGAATGCTTTTTATAAGGTATTTAAAAGAAAATATAATTAACTGGTTGCGTGCTTCTGTTGCAGCTCAAATTGAAATTATTCCATGCAAGATCTGTGGAGACAAATCTTCAGGAATCCATTATGGTGTGATTACCTGTGAGGGCTGCAAGGTAAGCTTTATATTATACGTATGTATATATGTGTGGGTGTGTGTGTGCCTGAGGAAAGTATCTGTTTATCCACCGAGGCTTATTTGTCTCTGTGCAAGATGAAATATCGAACCCAGTTAACAATGTTGCATACAATCAATAAATTGCCATGGATGGATTTTAAAACTTTCTGTTGCGTTTTCTCTCCTGAAGCACATTTTTGTCAACTCACACTTGTTCTCAGATCCTAAAAGCCCCAAATAATATCTGCAGGGATGTTGGAATGGCTGCAAATTCTTCTACAGCTTCTCTATAAAAGCGAAGCTGAATTTAAAGAGAAATTTAGTTAATTAATTAAATTTGAGGAGGGTTCACAAATTCAACTCTCAGGGTGTCCCTGCAAAGGCATTATTCTTCTTGGAGTACAATTGCAAGGAGAGAACAGCCAGGACTTGGTAACTTCTCTACCTGTTGTACAAGTAGTCCTCGGCTTACAACAGCACTTGGGACCGGAATTGCAGTCACTAAGCAACGTGGTCGTAAAGTGCGATGTTGCATGACCCGTCATTGAGCGACAGCAGTTCTGGCAGTCCTGGTTGCCGGTTAAGTGAGGATCACATGGGTCATTAAGTGAGAACCTCACGTGACTGTGACTTCTGACTTCCTGCTGGCTTCCCCATTGACTTTGCTTGTGGAAGCCAGTGGGGAATGTTGAAAATCATGATCACATGACCACAGGGATGCTGCAAGAGCTGGAACTCCAAGGACCAGTCATAAGTCCCCCTTGTTTAGCACTGTCATAACTTTGAACGGTCACTGAACGAATGGACGTAACCCGAGGACTACCTGTATCACTAATACAGCCCTATGAGATTGGAGAGTTGATATCTGTTGTACTTGTGTTGCTTCTCCAGATGAGTTGGAGGATGGGTGTGTGTGTGTCAAAGCAAGTGAGCATGGCTGCGTTCTCCCTTCTTGCCCTGTACTCCGATAGATGCCAACAAAACCATCAGTTGAAGCCATGATAGATTAACAAGGATTATTTTTCATGGTTCCCAGCACAGCATGGAATGCCAACTCTTCCAGCCTGCCTAGAATTTAAGTCCCAGGTCTGAGGCTCTTTTTCCAAGAGGTTTAGCCCCATGTGGTGGTGACACCTGATGTGGAATGCCCTGTCCAAGCTAGTTTGGCTGGCAGCGTCCCACGTGATGGAACCACATTGGTCATTTCCCTACTTTTTATCAGTGGTTAGTGGCAGATGTTTTATTCACTTGCTTTTTCAGCTTTTCACTATTTTGGGGGGGCTTTTTGGATTTTATTTATTTTATTCAATTTTGAGGCCATCCAACTCCTTAACATCTCTGGGTGGCTTATCATTAAAACAGTGTGTGTGTGTGTGTGTATTTGTATCAGTATAGGAAAAAAAATACAACCAGCCAGAAGACAATATACTGCCAATTAAAAAAACAAAACCATGGGGACTCTGTAACTAGCCTGTCTTAAGGCCTGAGAGAACCACCATGTTTTTTTAGGAATCTCTGCATATCATTAGGATGAGAGCTGTTTGAATCTCCCTCACTTTTGCTCCTTTTGGTCTTTGACTATGAATTTAACAAAGAAATACATCTGTATTTTTGCCTACTACAACACAAAGGGTTGATTTATTTATTAGTTTGGTTTATATAGCCATCCATCTCAACTGCATAACTCTAGTCGCAAACTTTGGTTGATTTAAAATGGGAGGGAGTGGGAGAAGGATTTGTTTGGAAAAAGGGAAGGTTATAGGTTGCATCCCCAAAGCTGAATAGCCCCTGTCTTGATAACTGTGAAACATCTCAAGTTGCCATGTGCCTGCAAAGTTTTATTGAAACCACTTGGATTCCTACAACGATTCAAGTGTTTGCTTTTCCAACCCAAAGCATTAACTTTTTTCACAAGCACCTTCCAGCAAATAGCATCTTCCTCCTTGTGACCCTGGGACGCTATTCCATTGTAGCTAGATCTGCTGTAGAGAAAAGCAGCGTTGGAAATCATGATTTGCTTTTTTTTTTGAGAATGTAATTGACTGAACCTTTCCTGCAGTATTTGTAGGATGCATTTACTGTCCATCCCAACCTTGAATTAAAAAAGGGTCTCCCGCGTATATTTGAATGACTTTTGGCTAAATTTCAGTGAGTTAATTGGGTACACAATTTCAGCAATTGTAGCATTGAGGTGCTACCCGTTGTACTGTTACTCTTTGTCCTACTTCTTCTGAATTCTGTAGGGAAACAACAGTTTGTAGCAGCAAAGCAGATGATGCTTTATTGTGTCCTGACATTGGCTGACATGCCACTAAAGGTTCCCTTTGATTCTTCTTCAATTTCTAACTTTCTAAGCAGGATCAACGTCTGTCCTGAGCTTCCAAGAGTGCTTTCTCTGTTTCCTGAAATTTCTTTCTAGAAAGTGCAGCGATCACGGCTGTATTGTTTTGCTAGGGGGAAATGCTCCCTGGAAAATCTTTCTTAATGCCCCTAATACAAGCCTTCACTGTCCGTATGCTCTCACTTTTCTGTTCAAGACAAAGCCCGTTTCAGGAGCAACAACGTTCTGTCCTTTAAGAGGTCTGTTGGGTAGGGTGGGCAGAGGTTGGCCTTTGAGGGCATCTGCCAGTTTGCCAGAGACATTTTGATTTTGATAGGATGGCGGGGATGGCAAGCAAGTACAGTGTTGTCTGAGGATCTTCAGCAGGCGACCTCATCTTCATGGCATAACACCCTGCTCTTGCTTTGGGGGAATCTTTAAATTGGAGTTGGATTGGCCAGACCTTCAAACAGAGGATGCCTTAGTTAAATTGTCATCTTTCAGATCCAGAATGGTCCTCCATGAAACAGGGCTAGGCGTACAGGACCTCTGAGCATAAACCAGTCATTCTCTGGGATGTTATTTTCAGGGCCGAAGGTGAATTTCTAGGATAGAAGATGAATTCTTTGCTCAGTGATCCCAAATCTCTATACTGTGAGTGGAATAGAGTTTTTTTTTTTTTAAGTAGGTTTGTTTTAAAAATTCAGAATTTGGGTTAGAAAATTCATAGGATAAGGAAAAAACAACTCTCTGGTTCCTAATTGGCAATTATTGGAATATTGTGAAAGGTAATGATACATGGAAATCTGTAAGTGTTAGCTATAAATCATGAGATTATGAATAAGTCTTTGTTGTCACAGGCTGGTGTGTATCCCTTTCAGAATGTCTGCCACTAGAATGCAATAAGGCAGCTGTCAGCTGTTTTCTTGTAATTAAACAGCCAATGAGCAGCTAATTAAGACATATGTGTATACAGAAGTGGAAGTGGGCATGTTAATGAACTGTAGGAATCAATTCATTAAATGAAAATTGTCAAAAGACCAAACACAAGCTTGGTGGTTCACATCTCTGCCAGGTTCCACAAGCAGTGGAGGGAAGAAAGAAAACAGAAGCATCCCTTCGCCGCCCACAAGTCAAAGATGGGCATTTATTTTCTTTGAAGAGGAAGTTAAACAATTTCCTCCTTTAGACCAATTCATTGGCCTTGTCTTGAGAAAATGATTTAGACCCCCAAAAAGAAAAAAAAGGTCAGTGTATCTCCTCCGTTTGGCCAGCCCAAATGGCTGCTGTCTTGGCTTTGCGTGGACTTGTGGTAGATGCGCTTCTACGAAGAGACTTTTGTGCAAATGGGATTGATCCTGGAAGCCACAGAAGTTGACTAGCTGACTTCTGGTGGCATGTCCAGTTCAGTTTTGGTCTAGCGCTGTTGGACAAAAGAGTATTGTGCGGTAGCTAAAAGAGCCCAGCCTATCTCACAGGAGTCTTGCGAGAAAAGATGGAGGAAGGAATGCCCAGAAGTGATGCCTCTGATTTGAAGGGTGGGATTGTTTTTTTCATTCATAAAAGCTGATTCTGTCGCTGCCCACGATACTTTCAGATACTGTTCAGCTGTAGGGCATGGACCTGGGCATTTACCTCAAACAATGCATTTTGTTATGGAAAATAGGAACCGCACAGCCCTGTTACGATAGGATCCTACCTCGGTCATGTATTTTACAGCCCACCTTTGGAAAACCCTTGGTGGGCCTTTCCCTCAAAGATCACGATGTTGTTCAAAGCGGGAGCTGCCCTCAAAATGGGCTACGGTACTCTTCCGGCTCTCACCGTTCGCTTTTGGTCCTGCTTGACAGGGTTTCTTCAGGAGGAGTCAGCAAAGTAACGCCACCTATTCCTGTCCTCGTCAGAAAAACTGTTTAATCGATCGAACGAGTAGAAACCGCTGCCAACACTGTCGGTTGCAAAAATGCCTGGCTGTGGGGATGTCTCGAGATGGTGAGGTTTACTAGTTCAGGTCAGCTGTCTTGTATGCGTGACACTCCTTAGCCTCTGCTTGCTTGTCCCATTCCTGAATAATCCATCTTGAAATGCCCTACGCTTAGTAGCCCTCAGGGTTGTTAATTCCCTGCATGCCCGTGTGTGCCCGTGTGCATATAGCTATCCCAATGTTATTGTGTCATCCGATACCGCAACAACTGCATTTAACATATGGAGCCACTGATGTATATTCCTCTGAAAGAAGCTTTCTTTATTCCACGAAGTGCAGCTTCATAGGATGTCAGAGACATCCCTTGTCATGTTGGCCACCAACTTCAAATGTCCTTCCTTCCTTCCTTCCTTCCTTCCTTCCTTCCTTCCTTCCTTCCTTCCTTCCTTCCTTCCTTCCTTCCTTCCTACCTACCTACCTACCTACCTACCTACCTACCTGGCAGATGTATACGGAAATCTGGGTGTTCAGACGTGTCATAGTCCCAACAGCGTTGAAAATTTTCGCCTTTAAATGGCACCAGAGTTACAGGTTCCTGTGATCCAAAAAAATCTTACCTTTTGCTCAGGGAATCCCAAATGTAGAACTCTTATGCACGTTAAATACATTTGTACTTTTTTATCTGGCTGAAATTTAGATTTGATCCGTGTTTTTTCATAGTAAAATTGCCCTTTTGGTTTTTGTCCCCATATGAATCGTCACCTCAGATTCCTCTACAGCTTTGTTTTTCAAACTTGTCAGCTTTAAGATGCGTGGACTTCAACTCCCAGAATTCCCCAGCCAGCATGGCTGGCTGGGGAATTCTGGGAATTGAAGTCCACGCATCTTAAAGTTCCTGAGGTTGAGAAACACCTGCTCTACAGCTTACCCACGGCCTTGATAAAGGGACTGCACAAAACATTTGCAGGAAATACTTTGTAAAGTGTGTTCCCGGAGCAAAATACTCCTTCAAGCATCTGTAAGAAGGTGTGGGGAGGTTGAGAAAGGAATGGAAGGCAGAGGAGAGAGGGGAGGGGAGTTAATTGGCAGCTTCTCTCGTAAAGGGCAGCTCAGCCCAGGTGGGAAGAAAGCTGGGGAGAAGCCTTTCAGATCCTTCAAAGAGACTCTGCCTTAATGAACGTGCTAATAAGGGAGGCTGGGAAATTCCTCTTGCGGTTCCCAAGATCTGTATTGACCCCAGATGAGTATTAAAGATGCCTCTTTGAAGTCTGTGTAGTTCTAGCTTCCCAATGTTGCCTGCCTATGTGGGCTTGTCAGCAATCTTGGAAACTGCAAGAGGAATTTCCAAGTCTTGTCTAAGTTACTGCCCACTCTCCCTTCCCTTCCCTTCCCTTCCCTTCCCTTCCC